GTGGGGCCTTCCCTCGCCTTTTCTCCCGGTTTCCCAACAGACCCCGGGGCCGCCCCAGCGCACCCCGACCACAGTGAAAGCGAGCCGGAGACGCGCTTTCCGACTTCCCTTCCCGCCCGGGCCGGCTCCCTCCTCCCGGACACCCGCGGCCCCCCAGGAGGGGCTGCCCCTCCCTGGGGTTCGGTGTTTTCCCTTTTCCACTCCCCGGGGGATCGCTTCTGCCCCGGGAGGCCGCACTTGGCAGGACTTGAACTGTGGGAGAGCCGGAGTCCAGGGGGGCAGCCTGCGGGAGGCCCCGAGGGGGGGTGCCCTGGAGGGAGGGGGCGGCCGTGCCCCCGCCCCTTCCCTTCCCGGCCGCAGGGCCTTTGATCGTCTGTGCCACTCCAGGTGACCATGGCCGACCGGGCGGCCGCCGAGCGGGCTTGCAAAGACCCCAACCCCATCATCGACGGCCGCAAGGCCAACGTGAACCTGGCATATCTGGGCGCCAAGCCTCGCAGCCTGCACACGGGTGAGAGCTTGTGTTTTCCTCCCGGCTCTTCTGGGTTTCTATATTCAGCGCTGGTATCTGTCCGGTGAGACAGGGCCCCCTCCCGCCGGGAGTGGCAGTCAGCTATCATGTGCTCGCAGAGCCCTGGCTGCCGGGCACGCACCCCAGCTCGGGAGCCTGACCCCCCGCTCCCCAGTGTGTGGGCCCCGGGAGAGCCCTAGCCCCCGACTGCCAGCTGCCCTGACTGAGAGGAAGTTGCCCTCGGGGTTGAAGGCTGAGCCTCACCCTGAGAGGCTCTGCTCCCTCCTGGCCCCCAGGCTGGAGTTTGTTTCAGCTGGTGTGGGGGGTGGGGTAGCCTGGGAGGGGTTAGGAAGCTGGTAATCCCTTGAGACTGGGGGTGGATGGTGTGCAGGCCTCCCCCAACCTGAGGAGTGAGGGCCTGACTGGCCTTTCCTTTTAGGGTTTGCTGTTGGTGTGCAGCAGCTACAACCCACCTTGATCCAGCGGACCTACGGGTGAGTGGATGTGGCCAGCGTGGGGTGGGCGCTTGTTGGAGATGAGGCCGGCGGCCATGGGCTTTCCTAGTCTGAAAGATTGGGGGGATTTCGGCTTTTCAGAAGCATGATCGTAGTTTGGCAGTGAACTGGGGAAGACTAGGCAGAAGTACTTCTCCATCCCTGGCTGGGGGAAGCTTGAGTCTGGGAGCAGCGAGCCCCCTCTGCCTCCCACTGTGAGGTGTGGTGAGCGGCTTTGGATACACCTGGGCAGGGCGTTTGTTTGCCTGCATTCTGGGGAACCAGTGAACTGGGCTCTTCCCTCAGTGCCCTCAGACTTGCTCTAGTGCCAGGCAGCCGTGGGTCTCCGCCCCCGGGGGTGGGTTGCAGCTGGGGTGTGATGTTTGATCGTGGCCGGGCCTGGCTGCTTGTTGTGTGATGTGCTCGAGAGCAGCACATCCTGCTCCCCACGCTGAGTAGCTGAGGCCTGGCAGCCGCGTGGGGCACCTGTCCCGGGGCCTGCCTGCTTAGGCCCCTGCAGCAGCCGGGGACTGGTGGCTCTCCACCAGAGGTGGGCAGCCCTTCCCCGAGCTTTCCCAGGCCATATCCCGGCCCCTGGACTTTGGGTCTCTGTTTGAGTGTGGCCCACCCAGGTGCTGTTGTCCTGCTAGGCAGTGCGGTGGTGTCCTGGTAGCTTGGCAGACTTGGCGGGGAGCTGGAGGTGGCCTGGCTGGAAGTGTCTGTTCTTCTAGGATAGGCTTGCAGTGTCCTGGGGCAGATGGTTCTAGACTTTCTCCTTGAGATCTGTTCGCTCATGATCTAGGGCCGTGTAGGAAGGTGTTTGGGGACACTCACTCCCAGCCTTTGTATCTTCAAGGGTTTGGGCCAGGGAGGGGGGCCTTCCTGTCTGTGTCTGCAAGGCTGTGTGAGAAGCTGGCACAGACCTGGCCCAGCCTCTGCTGCCTTCAGGACCCGGGGCCTCCCACCCGCATCCAGCTCTGCTCTCAGCCGTTGCTGCTGCCTGAGCCACCAGTGCCTGGCCTCTGGGGCCAGCACAGGCCCGGGTTCAAATCCCGACTCTACACTTGGGTCCTGGCACAAGGTAACCCTAATTTTCCCTTCTGGAAAAAGGGAGCAACACCTCGTAACAGTACCCCGTGTGTGGGCTGGGGTACCATGCGTCCTGCAGACCTCCCTGTGTGCCCTTCCAGCCAGCCTCTGAAGTGGGGACCCATGCCACCCACAGGGAGACTGAGGGGAGATTGGGCTTGGTAGGCCGGGGGGGGGTGCTGGTTGGTAAGTGGGAGGAGGCTCCAGGAAGCCACAGTCAGCCAGCTCTTCGGGAGGTGAGTAGGAAGGGCCTCCAACCCAGCCTTTTCCTCCTCCCGCAGTCCCTGGAGCCCCTGGCATGGCGTGTTCAGGGGTCGGGCACAGATTCAGTGCCATGTGCAGCTGACTCACGGTGGCAGTGGTTTGTAACTGGACCGCCGGCTGGTCCTGGGGTGGTCATTCAATACTGCTCACTGATTGCCGAGAGGTGGACGTCCCGCACAGGGACAGGTCGTCCAGAGAACGTTTTCTGTTCTTCCCAGCGAGCGCTGTCCTGAGCTCCTGCCCCCGCTCAGCCCCCGTGGAGGGCCGGGTAGCGGGATGGCCGGGCTGGGTGGTGCAGCCGCGGCCAGGCCTGGCTGTGTAGGTCATCTGTGAGCCCCAGCTCCCGCCCTGGGCCGGCCTGGAGGGCCGGGCCTCAGCGACCCCTTTGTCTTTGTAGACAATTGGGCTGGGGCACAGGAGGCCTGGCTCGGCTGTTTTGTCAGCTCAGGCTGGCAGTGGAGGCCAGGCCTGCCTAGATGAGGGCACCATGCGGGGGGAGGGACAGGACTGGGGAGTTTGGGGGGCCACGGGGCCCGAATAAACGTTCTCCAGGCTTTCCAGGGCTCAGCTGGGTCAGAGGAGTCTGTGGCAAGACTTTGGGGCCAAGCCTTGCTAGGAGCCCTGGCCTCGTTGCCCAGAAAGACTGTCAGCTTGGCGAGATTCCCCAGAAACATCTGCCACTGCTCCATGCCCGGCCCCGCCAGGCCTTTCCTTTCTGAACCCAAGGCCTGTGGGTTTCCCTTGTGGATGCCGTGGGGGGGGGGGGGGGAGGAGGCAGGTCTGCCTGGCGGAGGGGCTCTTGCTTTCTGGAGAGTTTGGAGCAGTCTGGAGATCTCCTGTGTCCAGGCAGTGTGCTGGCCTGGCCTGGGAGGGCCTCTGAGGGTCAAGGGCATCTGTCCACTCAGCTTGGGTCAGTCAGGAGCCCGGCAGTGGAGGTTGCTCTGTGGGCTGTTTCTGAAGATCCCCATTTGTAAAGGGGATCTTTGCTGGATGCCACTGGCTGGTGTCTATGATCCTAGCTGCTTAGAAAGCTGAGGTCTGAAGCATCACAGCCAGCCCAGACAGGAAAGTGTGTGAGACTCTTATTTCCAGTTATTTACAGAAAAGAAAGGGCCTAAAGTGGAAGCGTGTCTCAGGTGGTAGAGCACCGTAAGCAGAAAAGGCTAAAAACCAGTGCTGAGGCCCTGAGGTCAGCCTCAGGCCGGCCAGTCAGCTGGACACACACACGCACGCAGGCCCACACGCCCACCTGTGTAGGGTCCTCTGGAGGATGACCGCTGGACCTGGCGCACTGGCCGCCTGGCTCGGGGAACGCTGGGCTCTGTCTCACGGCAAGGACTGCTGGCGTGTTTGTGATGACCGGAGCTGGAGCCTGCCAGGCCACGCTCGGTCCTCCGAGCCCTCTGCGGGTCCCGTGATGGCTCTTGGTGTGCTGGACTGGGCCTGAGCTCCCCCCACGCGGGTCAGCTCAGGGGGGCAGGGGGGCCAGAGCAGAGCCCTTCGTGTCTGGGGTGCTCACTCCCTGCCTGGCAAGGCCGCGGTGGAGGCTGAAAGGTCCCCAGTTCCAGGTCAGCCCTGTCTCCATAGTGAGGGCCAGCAAAAGAGGTCCTGACCCCCAGGGGCGCAGCTCATCTTTTGGGGTGGCGGGGCAGAGAGAACTGTGTGCAGTGGGGGGTGCAGGGTTGAGTGGGGAGGGGGGCTGAGCCTGTGTGAGTCAGAAGAACCGCATGCAAAGAAGGATGCTGCTCCATGCAAAGCCGGCCTGGCGCGCAGGGCCTGTGTTGTTAGTGCACCTGGCCAGGGAGGGGGGGGGGCTGGGTCTCCTGGCAGGGAGGGCTGTGGCTGTGGCTGTGGCTGTGAAAGGGCCTGGGTCTCCTGCGCTGTTTCTGCACCTCAGGGTCCGTCGGGGTCTGAGCATGAGAAGTCAGGTGGGCAGGGCGTCCTGCAGCGCGGTCTGCAAGCCCACCGTGGAGCAAGTCCCTGGGTGTTGGCTCCCCCCACCCCCCCGCCGCCCCGTGCAGCCTCACCTTTCTCTCCCCTCTCTTGGTGGCCCTGCTGACTCCCCACAGCCACTTCCTGTTTGGCTGTCTGACAGGAGCCGGGGCGCCCGCGGCCCGCGCTGCACCTGTTGTTTGTGCCCGGGCATTGACGGAAGCCAGCCTCTGCGTTCCTCTCCAAGGCTGAGCTCCCACTCTGCCCAGGCCTGGCTGGAGAGGGCCTCTTCTGAAGCCTTGGACCCAGAGGCCACGAGGAGCCGGAGACTTGGAGACCTGGACAGCGGCTCAGCCTCACAGCGATAGCCGGGCCTGGCAGAGGCTCCCAGAGGGCTGATGGATGCCTCCCTGCCCTGGCCAGGAATCTGGACTCTCCTCTGGTGCTCTAGACTCAGTAGCCGGCCAGGCGGACGCACCGCACACGGGAGCTTAGCTTGCCCTGGGGCCTGGGAGAGCCCCTGCCCAGCTGGTGATTCCAGCGCCCCCTGCAGGATGGCTGGGAGGGGGAGGGGGAGGGGGCGGGGCCTTGATGGCAGTTGTGGAATCTGAAGCTGGGTGTCCCGGGCTGCCAGCAAGTGCTGGGCTGAGGAGAGATGTTTGCCAGCCTCTCCGCGCTGGCTTGATGAGCCTGGGCTGCAGAGCAGCAAGTTGGGTTGTCCCGATCTAACTCAGTGGGGGTGGGGTGGGCAGGTGACAAGGTCACATGTGTCCCGGCCATACCACAGGCAGCCTTCCCTGCCACTGCACAGACCCCCTGAGGCCTGCCTTGCTGCCGGCGGTGGCACACGGGGCCCTCCCTTCCTGCCCGAGAGTCTTCTGGGTGGGCAGCGCAGCGCTGGGACCAGCTCCCATAGCCAGAAAAGTTGTCGGCCCATTTGCCTTTCCCGGGCTTCTTTCAGTGGTGGCTCTGTTCAGGAAACGCTCTCCCCCCCCCCCCCCCGCAGCCTTGCCCTATCGTTTTTGTTTTGTTTTGTTGGGTCCGGTCGGTCGTGGGGCCTGAACTCTGGGCCTGGGCACTGTCCCTCAGCTCAAGGCTAGCGCTTTACCACTTGAGCCACAGCGCCACTTCTGGCTTTTTTCTTTTTGCTTATGTGGTGCTGAGGAATCGAACCCAGGGCCTCGAGCATGCAAGGCAAGCGCTCTACCACTGAGCCACCTTCCCAGCCCCAGGCCCTGTCTCTTGTGACAGCTGTGTGGCAGGCCTGCCCCTTGGGGTGACCTGTCAGCAGCCACCCTGTCCACGAGGGCGCAGGTGCCCTGCTTCTCCCCCAGCTCCTCCTAGGGGCAGCCCGGGCCGGGCAAGCTCAGTCTTGCACTCTGGCATCCTTAGTTTGCCGATGGGGAAATTGAGGCCAGGGTGGCTGCACGGTGTCAGGCACAGGCCACACGTGGCCCCGTGGGCGAAGCTGGGGGTTCCCCGATGCTCCTTGCTGATGAGGCCTGGGCCAGCTGGGTGGGAGGGAGCAGTGTCTGCTGGGCTCCGGCACATGCGGGTAGCAGAGGACCCTGATCGTGGCTGTGTTGAGAACTCAGCACCCAGCGGCCTCGGCAGGGGTCTGTGAAGCTGCAGGCCCGAGAAAACATCTGGGGAGGTGAGCTTGCTTGCAGCTGGGGGAAGGAGCCTGCGGGCAGAAGCATGGTAGGTGCCAAGGTCCTGGGGCTGGTGGGAGATGGGGGGGAGTCTGGGGAGCTGGAGGAGCCCTGGGAAGCCCCGGGTCTTGGGCTGGTCCTGGAGGTGTTGAGGCCTGGGGAGTCTTGAGCATGATTCTGTTCCTTCTGCTGTGTGTCCAGTGACCCAGCCCAGAGACCTGGGAAGAGGCGGGGGGGGGGTGGTGAACACGGGCACTGATTGGCGAGGAGAGTGCTCAGGGTGTGGCATGGTCCCGAGACTGTGGGGCAGGGAGTGCATCCGGCCCGTCCTGACCACAGATGTGGGGCAGAGGAGCCGGGCTGGGCTGGCTTGTGCCCTCTGCAGGCCTGCGGGTCCAGCGGGCAGAGCCGCGGACGGCAGGGGCGCGGGAGGCCTGGTTCCCAGGGCCAGGAAGGTCTTGGTCTGCGGTGATGTGTGTGTCCTGGAGCCCAGGGTTGTTGGTGTGTGTGTGTTTGCACGTGCACGTGTGGGCCTTCTTTCCTCAGCTTAGGCGCCCCTGGGCGTGACCTCTGGTCACTTCGGGTCACCTCTGGCGTGGCTGTGATGCGTGCTCTGCAGCAGAGCTGGCGCGGTCCCCCGCTCGGCCGCGGGTGCCAGGAGCACCCTCCTGGAGCCCCTCCTGGACCCCGGCGTGTGGGACATCCGGAAGGGCTCCCGTGCTGCCTGGCCCCTCCTGCACACCGCCCCCCGCACGGCTGCGGGGCTGGGCCCCTGCCCGGCGCGGCACTGTGGGACAGAGCCGGGCGCCGGCCTCTCCTCTTCACTTGGCCTGGGGCAGGAAGGCCCGCAGCTGCCGGGCGGCCACGCCGGGGTGACCGCTGCCCGCCTGGCTCTGTCGGGAGCCATTTCAACGCCCCCGCTCGCAGGGCTGCGCCGGCCTGTGTTTGGGGACAGTCGGGCTCACAGCTTCAGGAGGGCCGTCGGGAAGGTCTCATGGCGGGGTGGCCGTGGCCTCCGCTCCTGTCAACCTCGGTGTCCCACGGCTGCTCCTGGAGGCCACACCCTGGAGGGCAGACGGCGAGCTCTGCTCAGTGCCCAGGTCCTGTCGGGAATGAAAGATGGCCTCCCCTAGGGCGGCAGGATTTGAACCCAGGCCGTGTTGTGCCAGGCTGGCAAGGTGTGGGCTCCCGGAGTGCGGGGCAGGCGGGGCCCATGCCGGGCTTCCGCCAGAGGCCTGGGAATGGCTGCCGTGCGGGTCTGCGGTCTGGCTCAGGCTGCGGCCTTGGCGGCTGCCAGCCCTGGTGTGGGATCTCCAGCTTCTGTGGCTGCCTCCTGCGCGTGGAGAATCACGGCGTGCCACGGTGTGGCGTGTCTCCTTTGAGCCGATCAATCAGCAGGCGTGCGTGGAGTTTCGTGCGAGCTGATCAGCAGGCGTGCGTGGAGTTTCGTGCTAGCGCCTCTGCCCCGTGAGGGGTTCAGCTATCCCCCCCCGCCCCAAGGTGTGCATTCTCCTCGCCTTGTCCCACACCGCTGCCAGCTCGTGGCGTGGGGGGCAGGGCCGCCGTGGGCACGGGTGGGGCCTGCTCAGCCCCCCGGCGTCACTGGGGTATTCTCTGGCTCAGTGGGGGCTGCAGGGACTCTGCCCTCGTGCCCCACACTGTGGAGCCAGGGCAGCGGGCGGGGGGGTGGGGAGCAGGGCAGGCAGGACAGGCGTGGGGCCCATGGTCTGCAGGGCACCCTGTTTTCTGTTAGTGGCTGGAGTCGGGTGGGTCTGCAGGGTGCCCCGTTTTCTGTTGGCTGGAGTTGGGGCAGTCCTGCAGGGCCCCCCATTTTCTGTTGGTGGCTGGAGTCAGGGTGGGCCCGCAGACCCCCCCCCCCGTTTTCTGTCAGTGGTTGGAGTTGGGGTGGGGCCTGCAGGGCATCACTGGCATGGGTCTTGTCAGTTGTGGGATTTGAACTCAGGCCCTAGGCGCTGTCTCTCAGCTTTGGTTCAAGGCCAGAGCTCTACCACTTGAGTCACAGCACGACTTCCAGCTTCTCCTATGTATGTGGTAATGAGGAATCGAACCCAGGACTTCGTGTAATGCTAGGCGAGCCCTCTACCACTAAGCCGCATTCCCACCCCAAATTCTCAATTTTAAATCGAAACGGAACACTTTTTGTTGTTGCTCGTGGCGCTTGAACTCAGGGCCTGGGTGCAGTCCCTGAGCTCTTTTACTTAGGGCTAGCACTCTACTACTTTGAGTCATAGCTCCACCTAGGGTTTTTCTGGTGGTTTATTAGAGATGAGGCTCACGGACTTTCTGGGCTGGCTTTGAACCGCGATCCTCACCTCTCAGCCTCCTGAGTAGCTAGGAGGCTGGCTTGTGAGCTAGCTCCCTGCCACAAGGCCATACTTTCGAGTTTTATTGAGCTTCCTAAATCTCATGGTTCTGCAGGAGATGGGGAAAGTCTGGGAAAGCTTTGTTGGGGCTCCATTGCGGGGGGGGGGGGCCTGGGCTAGTGTCCTGCTGGGAGCAAGCACAGCTTGTGCAAAGGCCCTGAGGCACGGGCCAGCTGCTCTCCTACCCCACCAGCTTCCAGTTCCAGCCTCCTGCCTCTGACGTCGGCCCTGACTCTGCTTGTTCCACAGGCTGACGCCCCACTATGTCTACCCATCAGCCATCCTGCAGCCCAGCATGGTGATCCCGGCCACCCCGGTCCCGTCCCTGTCCTCGCCCTACCTCGAGTACACGCCCGCGCACCCAGCCTACGCCCCGTACCCACCAGCCGCCTATGACCAGTGCCCGTACGCCGCCTCACCGGCCTCGGCCTCCAGCCTCGTGGGCTACAGCTACCCCGCCACGATGCCCCCCTCACTTTCGGCCGCCGCCCCGGCCGCCGCGGCCTTCCTGCAGTACCAGGCGCCCCAGCTGCAGCCCGACCGGATGCAGTGACGCGCCCGTGGGGCACCCGCCCGGGGGCTGGACGACCCCCCCCACCCCCGCCAGCCATGCCGGGGGTGCGCACCCCGCCCTCGTGGGGACTTTGAGACTTGTGTTCTGTCGCTGGGCGGCGGTGGCCGAGCCCGGGGGGCACCCGGGCCCCAAGGCGGGTGAGGCCCCAGTCGGGATGCAGCAGCCTTCAGGGGTACAGGATGGAACCCCCTCCCGTGTCCTGTGATCTGCAGCCAGGACGCTGTGTACCCCGCGGGGGGGGGGCACATCGTCCCCCACGGGGCTCCACGCCGATGCCGACACGGCGCGGACTCCTGGCCGAGCAGCTGCGCCCGCACACCTACCTCAGGGAGCCGCGTGCTGCCGCGCTGCCCTGCCGCTCCGGCCGCCTGCCCGCCAGGCCGGGAGCAAGGTAGCTGTGGCCATTCCCGTATTTTATTAGACCGGCAGGGGATAACAATAAAGCTCGTTTTCTTCAGAGCCGTTGGCCTGCGACCTCCCCCCGCGGGGGGAAGGGAGGGGGGACAACATGGGGGGGCAGCGGGGTCCGTCCAGCCTGTGCTCAGGCCGCGTGCTTGGTACATTGAGCTTGGAAGTTCTGTTTTGCTAAAGCAAAGAGGGCTGAGTGGTTTAGGACCTGGGGGGACAGGAAGGGGCCCTGTGGGGTCCTAGGGCTGGGGCTTGGGGGAGGTGGAATCCTGGGGAGTTCCATGGGGCCCCAGGGCTGGGGCGGGGCCTGACAGACACGGTAAGGCCCAGGGTGCCAACCAGGTTGCCAAGGGCCCTCAGACCCGGCTGGGGTCGGTCCCGCCGCCTCTGCTCTCCACCGCCTCTGCTCTCCACCGCCTCTGCTCTCCACCGCCGCAGCCGTCCCGGAGCCACCCTCTTGCCTGCGCCCTGCCCCACAAGCACCCCAGACGCCCAGAGAGCCCGCCTTCCCGATCTCCCAACCCTCTGTGACTCCCCGCTGCCCGCGGTGGCTTGTGGGGCCGTGGCCTCATCTTTCCTCACTTCACCCTGATCCTGCCAGCCTTTAGCGTGTCATGACGCTAGGCAGAGCCACCACAGGGCCTTTGCACTTGCTAGCCATGAGGAGCCCTCACACCCGAGTGGAGCTGGTGCACACGGCCCGGCCAGACCACACGCATGGCCACTGCGATGGGCAGGAGAGGCGTCCAGCAAAGGAGCCCCGCCTGCCCCACAGGGGTCTGGGATGTCCAGTTTGGCGGGCCAGCGGGGCAGAGACCAGTCACCAGGAGGAAGCAGCTTCCTGGGGAGCTGTGGGACCGAGGGGGGAGTAGTGAGAGGGGGGTCCACATGGAGTTCACCCCTCCCCCCCCCCGCCCTGTCCAGACAGGAAACGGAGGCAGGGAGAGGGGACGGGCGCACAGCGCGGAGGGGTGGTGCTCTCCAGGTGTGGTGGCCTCGGCCTCGGGCTGCTTGGCCTCCCAGGCCCGGCCCAGGCTGCCCTGGGTGTCTCTGTGCCAGCGCGAGGGCGGGGCCCGGGCCTTGCTGGGGCTGATAAGCCCCTCGGGGTCTGCTGCGGGCACTGCCAGGGTTATCAGCAAGGCCACCTGCCGCCGAGCCTGTCCTATCAGCCTCCCCAGCCTCCAGCGCGAGGCTGGGAGTGGCCCTGGGTCCTGGGACCCGGGAGGCAGCTGTAGATGGGGAGCCCAGCGGGGCGTCCGAGGGCTCCGCTCGGTGGGCTGAGGAGCACAGGACTGGGCGGGCCGGCTGGGACCGACAGTGACTGCCCTGGGCCCCAGGGGTGGAGGCTGCCCTTGGCCCTTTCCGTGGGTCCTGGGGCGCGCGCACACCAGTGGCCTGGGTTCTGCTGTGGAGGTCGTGGGTGGCCTGGCTGAGGAGCTGCCCCGCAGGCTCTGCCCTGTGCATTTCCTCACCGGGACACCCTACGGCCCTGGACCTGAGCATCTCAGCCACGGCAGCCCCCCATCCCACCTTGCCGCCCCCAGGCACAGACCCCCTCCCTGTGCCCGGCCTGCCGCAGGCCGGGGCAGAATGGTGTGAGGGGAGGTGAAGTCTGCATGCTCAGGCTTAGTATTCTGGATCTTAGGCGTGACGGCGGGAACTCTGGCAGCCATCTTGGTAACACCCCTGTAGAGCAGCTAATGGGCCCAGCGCCTCTGTCACTAGGATAAAAGAGGATGATGAGGATGATGGATGGTGAGGAGGAGACGTCACCCATTCCCGTGACGCCGCCCGCGCCAGCCTCACGCCTGGCACCCCAGCTGCTCAGGAGGCTGAGGGCTGAGGATCACAGTTCAAAGCCAGCCTGGGCAGGAATGTCTGTGAGACTCCTCTCCAGTTAGCCAGCAAAAAGCCAGGCCCTGCGCTCAAGCCCCAGCGTGTGCGCGTGCACACACACACAGACACACACACACACACACCCACACACACACACACACACACACACACCCTCCCACTGTTCACCACCTCCTGCGTCCCTCATGGGCTGGCATCCCCACCTCCTGACCCCCACACACAGCCTGGTCACAGCTGGAAATGGAGGCCTGGAGGCCCAGCCATCTTCACCGGCAGGGCTAGGGTTTACATCGGGCAAGGTGCCACGTGTTTTTCCCAGAGATGTAAACACCACACCTGGACCCTCCGTGCGGGAGCCGTCCCTGGCACGGCGCTGGCACCTGGCTCCGATACCTTCAGGTCTCCTGGGAGCCGATAAGTCCAGCTGTGCTTATCAGCGGGCTCCCGACGGGGCGGGGCCCCGTGCCCCACCCGCGTGGCACCTCCACGCCAGCCTGGGTGACAGCCACCCAGGGTGAAGGCGCACAGCTGACCCAGGCCCAGCCCCAGGCCTGAGGCTGTGTTTGTTTTTACAGACAGCCTCCAGCCCAGCCCCACCCACCTCCCTCCTCCCCTCTTCCTTCCTTCCTTCCTTCCTCCCTCCCTCCTACCCCCTCCCTTCCTTCCTCCCTCCTTTCCTTCCCCTCTCTTTTCTGCCAGTACTGGGGCTCGAACTCTGGGCCTCACGCCCTCTGTTTTTTTCTCAAGGCAGATGTTCAGCCACTTGAGCCATTCTTCTGGGATTTTGTTTTTTTCTTGTGGTTAATTGGGGATAAAAGTCTCACCAATTTTTCTGTCCAGGGTGGCTTTGAACTATGATCCTCCTGAATAGCTGAGACTGCAGGTGAAGCCACAGGCCCAGTTCAGTGCCTCCCTGCTTCTCCCCGCTTCTCCCTGCTTCTCCCTTCTCCCCTTATCCCCCCCCCCCCTCAGCAGTCTCAGCTGCAAAGGGCTTTGATCATCAGTTTGAACATCAGTTTGCTAACCCCCCAGGGAAGCCAGTTAGGGTGGGGTGGGCTCCCCCTTCCCCCCTCCCCACCTCTCCTTCCCCTGCTTCTTTTCTCCTTCCCTCCCCCTCCCCTTCCTCCTTCCCACTTGATTCACTTAAGCAGTCTAAAAGAACCACAGGCTCCGAAAATCAACGCTGAAGCCAGAGACCCACCTTACAGACACCTGGAGGGGGAAGAGGAGAGAGGCCAGGTCAGAGGCTAGAACCCCAGCCCACACCACTGATTGCAGACAGAGCTGCCCAGACCCGCTGCCCACCCCCTGCCACCCCCGCCCCGCCCTCCCTGCGTCCTGGAGCAGAAACAATGCAGATGTCCAGCCACTGAAAAGCTGGCAGTGTCAGGGCCACAGACAAGTGGGGGAATCAGCACCGGGCATGGAGCACCTAGCACCAGGCTGGAATGCCCTGCACCAAGTACGAAGCACCCAGCACTGGGCATGGAGTACCCAGTACCAAGCATAGAGCACCTAGCACCAAGCTGGAATACCCCGCACCAAGTACAGAGCACCCAGCACTGGGCATGGGGCACCCAGCACCAGGCATGGAGCACCCAGCACCGGTCATGGGGGAATGAGCACCAGGCATGGGGCACCCAGGACTGGGCATGGGGGAACCAGCACACAGCACCAGGCGTGGGGCACCCAGGACTGGGCATGGGGCACCGAGCACCGGGCACGGAGCACCCAGCACTAGGCATGGGGGAACCAGCACACAGCACCAGGCACGGAGCACCCAGCCCCAGGCATGGGGGAATAAGCACCAGGCATGGGGCACCCAGGACTGGGCATGGGGGAACCAGCACCAGGCACGGAGCACCCAGCGGGGCTGTGCTGCACTGTGGAGTGAAGCGGCAGCAGCTGTGGGGCTGGTGAGAGCGGGGGTGTGCGTGGCAGCAGTGGGGTGCTGGCTGCTTGGGGGAGGCCTCCTTGGGGTTCCCCCTGCACCCCCGTGACAGACCCAGGCCCTCCTGCCTGGGAGGCGTGAGAGCAGGTGTGCACAGCACCAGCCCGGCAGGGCCCCGAGGAGGCCAGGAGACCCAGCGGGGCCCAGCCAGGAAGTGGTGTGTGTGTGTGTGTGTGTGTGCATTTGCTCACATGCTTGTGTTCTCACACATGGGCATGTGACTCGGGGACCCAGGGAGCAGGCTGGAGCCCTCCACCAGCTGAGGCCCCGGCCCCTCCTGCCCCCTCCAGGCCCTGGGGCCCCGGCCGGTGCTGCCCGCGCTGCCCCGCAGCCCTGCTGTCCCAGAGCCCCTGGACCTGCACCAGCTGGCCCAGTGCTGCCCGGGGTGGTGTGAGGACGCAGGCCTCCAGCCAGCCAGGCTCAGCTGTCCCCTGGGAGGGTGAGCGTCCGGGGCCTTCCCGGGCACCACCGGCCGCCAGCCGGGAGGCCAGGCCAGGCCGAGAGACTCGGCAGGCCCGGGGCCTGCACGGGGCAGACGCGGCGTGGCCGGTAGGGCGGGCCAAGGGCCCAGGGCGTCGCAGCCAGGCCTGGTCCACCCCGCAGGACTCCCCAGCATGCACAGAGAGCTGCGGGCGGCCACGGGACAGTTACCGCCCCCCCCAGGGCAGGTCAGCGCGGGGCCCCGTAGCACTGTCTTCCTGCAGCGGTGCCCACGTCCATTTCCGGAGTGGACAACTGAACACATAGAAGGGGCTCAACACTCTCAGGCCTGGGCCGCGTGGTTAGCTCCAGCCTCTTTGGGGTAGGTGCTGGTGCTGGTGCTGGGCCCATCGCCGGATTCCCTCCTCTGGTATGTGTGTGGGGGTGGGGGGGATTCTGGAAAGTTCCTTGAGGTTCCCAGTGACTAGTTTACCCTAACCCACTTAGAGTCCCCAGGGGCTCCACCCTGGGAGGCCCCCTGGGGTCCTGGCTCCTAGAGGCTCCTGCTTGTGGAGGTCTGCTCCCCAGGATAACCTGCCCCAGGGCCTTTGCTCTTCCTGCCCTGCCCTGGACATCTCCGAGGACTGCTGTCCTCCCTCCAGCCGCGTCCCCTCTGCCACCCCTGGGACACAGGGCCAGCACAACTCAATCACCGGTGGTCTCCTTGGATTCTGTCCTCATCTCCTTCAGGAAGAAGAGAGATGCCCACAGACACAGAGGGAAACCGAGTGAAGGGGGTGGGAGAGGGGGAGACCCCGAATGAG